TCCCTACTGTTTTGGAGTAGACCTAGTAGGGTTGCAGCTTATGGTTGTGTTCTAAGGAACCTAGCCTAAGGTGAGTTAGGGCTAAAAATCCAGCTCTTGTTGGCTGCCTTGTCTGGAATAAGAGCCCCCATTTTCCTTCTCACAAAGGTGCCACCTGCTAATCAAGATGGGGGGCTGGGGGCAGTAAGGAGGGGGTGTGTGGGTGTGCTGGAGGCACGACTGACTCCACCCTAATTCAAACGGTAACATTTTATATTCTAGTAATTGACCTGCCACTGAGGCTTCACAGCTGAGCAGAAAATGGGTGCTAAATGCTGACAATCTCAAGATAGGTGCTAGCCACACCTTTTCACTAGTTCTCAATCTTCTCTCTTTCTCTTTTCCAAAAGGACAACACTCCAGCAATTCTACACTCCATCCTGGATCATCTATTTTTCCCTCTCTGGTGAATCATGCCCACAAGAATGCTACAAGCGCCACTTCCCCAATCTTTATTTAAAAACTAACCATGATTCCTTTACCCCTTCCAGCTCTCATTTCAATTACCTCTAACAGGCTCTTAACTCCCCCCGCCACTCCACTGAAACAGCTCTCATCCAAGGTCACCAGTGACCTCATCACTAGACTCGATGCTCATTTCTCAATCTTCATCTTATTTGACTGACCCAGCAACATTTGACACAGTTGGTCACTTCTTCCTCCTCGATATACTTTCTCTGCTTTGCTGCTAGAATAACATACTTACTGGTTTTCCTCCTAACTTTCTTGGCCTCTCCTTCTCAATCACTATTGCTGTTCCTTATCTCCCTAACCTCTAAATATTGCCAATCCTCCAGAGCTCAGTCCTTAGACCTCTTCTCCTTTCTAACTACATCTACTCTTTTGTTGATTTCCTGCAGTTTTATGGCTTCCAATAGCATCAGTAAGCTCTGAACCTACAAACCTGTATCTCTAGCCTACATTCCAGAGCTATACATCTAAATGCCTACTAAACACTCTTTATTTTGAAATCTAGTATTTTGTATCCAGTAATTTTGAAAAGTTTAACATGCCCCAAACTGAATCCCAGATATTCCAATTCCTCTTACAAGCCTCCCTCTTTCTATCCCACCTCCTGTAAATTCCACTGGTTTTATCTTCAAAACATACCTCAAATTCTACTACTTCTCCCTACTCCTACCACCTCAACCATAATTGAAAACACCAGCATTCTGTCTGGTTAATTACAATAGCCTCCTTGCTTCCACCTGAGACCCTAAGCCCCACCACAGTATTCTATTCTCAATGACAACCAGGCAGAGCGATAAGTAAATCAGATCACGGGACTCTGGTCAAAACCCTCCAACGGCTTACCTCCTTATTCTGTGTTAAAGTCAAAGTCTTCTGACCTATAAGGCCCATCACCACCACCATCCTTCTTACCTGCTCCTCCTTTCCTCGCTCAACTGGCTACAGCAACCTGTTTCTCCAACCAAAATGTACATTTCCACCTCAGGGTCTCCGCACCAGTGTCTCTGCCTAGAATGCTCTTCCTCAAGATACCCACATGGTTTGCGCCACCACCTTCTACAGGTCTTTCTTGGCTCAAAAGCCACCTTCTCAGTGGGGCCTTCCTTGGCCACTCTATCTAAAATGTCACAGTCTCCACACATTTCACCCGCCTTTCTATTTTTTCTCCATAGCATCTATCACTCTCTAACATATATTTTATCTATTTATCTTACTTATTATTGTCCTCTCCCACTAGAAATGGAAGCTCCATGAGGCTGCAAG